GTTTTACAAAATCCTGAAAATATCCCCTGTCAGGTGAATGAGGTGACTTCAGAATTCCAAGCAAATATAACATACTCACACCAGGTTTTAATAAGGTTTCATTTTAGCTTACATAAATAAGACAGGGCGTGGAATTATAATGCATATTCCAGACACCGTAGCAATAAGACAGTAAAGGGCTCCCAAGTTACAAAGAAGCTTGTAAGATTTCTTTAGAAATGGAGTAATCAGACGGTTGCCAGATCATAAACTAATTTCCCTATCCTCACTTGGCTGTTGAGCAAATAAAACGATGTTAGAGGTATCTAACTGCATATACTTTATTAATGGGCTATCTTAAGCATACTTCAAAGAACAATAACACAGTGTCTGTGGCCTTGGAGAAAGGCAAATGAGAAATATTTCCTTTCATTTTTAACATCATTCTTTCTTCTTTCATTGGTGAGCCCAGTTACAGAGCCATAATGAGACTATAAATTCTTTAATATTGCTCCTCAGGCATTCTGCACTTGTGCAGCATTTTCTTAGGTAGAACCGTATTATGGAAACAAGAACTTTTTCACCAGCATAAGCACAAATGGATCATGTCTTATATATTGTGCCTGAGCCAGTGAAGTCTCAAGAAATTAATTCAGTCAATGAGCAACTCTTCACTACCTACTAATATAAAGGCCTACATCATAAAAATGCAATAGATAGAGACCACCTTAGCTTGATTACTCCGTTCTATTTCCTGAAATTCCAGTAGCTGAAGTTGGAAAGAACTGGACTCATGATCAGCAAATAAGAAATGTTCACTAGATATTGCATTAAAGACAGGATGTACCATAAAACATAGACGGAATTAGCTCTTAAGCCAGTTACCTTTTCCTCTCTAAGATGACTGCTGATCATTTTTGATGCAAGGATTTTGGATGCAAGGTACCACAGAGCAAAAGTCTATATTTAAGAGAGTTGTGCTGTCACAGGAATCCCATCTACCATCCCTACCTCCCCCTCCAAGCTGTCTAGTCCCCAAAGTGGATAAGCATAGGTCAGACAGGGGATGTGTAAACCACAATCTCAGGACAGCCCAGAACAATGTTAGGCTCGTGATTTACTGAGACTGTAAAGAAACATACACCTTTTCTCCCCAGACCCTATAACCTGCTGCTCATCACAGATAGGGCTCAGACAGAGTCTAAAGGCCAAATAATAAAATCTCATTAAGGATATCCATTTTTTGCTCCTGACAAGTGTATTTAAAGAAAGAGAGAGAAAGCATGACAAAGCACATTCTCTGGATCTCTCTTTCACTAGACAGAACAGCATTTGTCCCTTAGCCTGTTGTGGACTGCCCAACCGGATATCTGACTTGGATGCAGTCTAGCACAGTCTCCTGTTACAGCTGACAGCCAGCATCAGATGGCTCACAGCAAAGGGCGAGTGCAAGACCTCCTCATTAGGCAGGAACTGAATACTCACAAGTTTCAACCTAGTCTTTAAAAACTAGAAGGTGTATTAAGATCCTTCTAATTACATTCCAAATATGTCTTTTCTAGCAGTTGGAATTTGCATTAAGTAAGATTGTTTGCCTGTGTCAAACTAGTGCTGGTAATTGCCAAACTTTTGTGGATGTTTGCGTGTATGAAACTCTTTCAATCCCTATTCTCAAGCGCCTGCTAATTCAGCTGTGAGCTCATTTATCTTTGCAGTGCAACTACCACTGTTCAGTGACCCAGTCATGCTGCTGACTACTGCCCTTGAAAAAAAGTCGTGAGATAACAGAGTGAAGTGTACATTGCAAATTAGTGGGATTGTGTCTTGAGTCCCTTTTCCAATACCTTCTGATTACATGCATTACACTGACACCATGTTCATGCACATGCCATCATCCCCTTTGTGTTCAGCCTTAGAAATGCAGTTAGTAAAAGAGCCCATTAAAAGAGTTTCCAGCGTGGTGGACAGATTCTTCTGTCCTTAATTATGATACTTTAGTGCTGTCTTCAGTATGCTATTTACCTTACCAGTGAAGACCACACCAAAGTGAAGGTATGATTAAGACAGAAGGCAAGAATTAGCTTAACAAACGTCAAAAATGGGAAATGGAAGAGGAAAGGTAAGAAGATACATCAGCGTTAGCCCCCCTGGTTATGGCTGCACGGCTTCAAGACAAAACCAGACATATAAACAAGAAGTCTCACAGTTTCTGCAGTTAGCATCATCTTGCCATTATCAGGTGACTAGTTACCCCTGGCATCTCAGCAGCTCTGGAAGGAGGACTTCAAAAGGACATGACAGTGGAATGGAGTTTGGGGGAAGGATGAAACTCTTGTCAGTGAGTTTCTCCTTGAGGCGGGTTCCCAAGTGTGGTGGCTACAAGGTAAATGTTACCTGTGTTTGTCAACTCAGTTAAATGCATATTCCCTGGAAGAATTTCGTATCACTCCCACTTACTTATTTTTACTTTATTGCATTAGAAGCAAGGATATTAATCTTGCTTTGTGCAAGAGACCTTACATTTCCTTCTAGGACATTTGAAGGTATTGTTTTTAGTTTAATAACACATTCTTGTTCTCAGCATGTTGCTTTCTCCCTGTCAATTTTTCAGCTTCATCACTAATTCATGAACCATATCTCTGGTGAGAACCAGCCCTAGATTGAGAAAAAGAATTCCTACATTTATTTGTCTCTTGGTTTATAAAAGATACTTTCCCCTTCAATAAGAGTGTTTTTATTCTGAAAAAGGATCATAAATTACATTTACATTTGTACAGTTAATAAAGAATTTGATGCATAAATTATAGACCTGAACTAGGTAAAAAGGCAGTATATCAAAGGCTGGTTAGTCTTGTTTACATCCAGGAAAGTCTGTAGTGGGTTTTTCAAAGCACCATGGAGAGTACTCAGCATCCACTGACATCCTGAAATATCTTTAGTTAATATGTCTCTTCACAAAAAGAAATCAGAACAAACTATACCCAAAAACCCCTTCTATGACACGAAACATAATGAGCAAAATAAAGGTAGATAAAGCAATGATCACAATACAAAGGGAGTTATTTGGGGTGGAGGTGTCTCTTCTTTCCTGCATATATTGCCGGGACATAGCTGGGATTCTGCCACTATGAATTATTAAATGTAATTTAATATGTATGAACTATTAAATGTAATTGTCCCTGGACAACAATATCTTTCCTAGGTTGAATTCAGTAGTATTCCTTCTGCTCTCTAATTCTGAAATGGCTGTTCGACAGAACTGGTTTCCTAATGCAGGCTCTCCTGTTCATTTTGTGCTTTCTGACAAGGTACGAGACCAGTGCTTCCCAAAGCACAGTTCACTGTCACCATTCTCTCTCCTTCACAAGCATTCAACCCAAGAGATCTCACAGCCCCTTCTGACCTTAATATTGCAAATAATTTCATAAAGAGAATAACAACCACTTTTGAGGGGAAGGCATTAAAAAAGTAATATGGCCAACACTCCCAATTATGAGACTATGACCAGACAATAGAACAAAAGAGAAAAATTCCTTCTATACTTAACATTCAAGGAGAAGGTTAATTCTAGTGTATCCAGCTTGACAGCAAGTTAACTGAAATATCTTTTAAATACCAAACTGCAAAAAAGTCATGACTACAAATTAAAATCTGCTTCTCTTGAGAGGCTAAAATACCTATCTTTATTTTAGTTTGCATTCCCCTGCCAGGGTTATTAGAGCCATTTCTGTTCCTTTAAATGAGTTCTGAATGGGAGGAGAGTAACACAAAAATTCTATATTCAGAATTTATCTCTGCTCCAACCAACATTAATGGAAGGAAGATCAAAGATACTCTAACAACAGGGTGTTGTTAAAATATATCAGCTGTGTCACATACCTAAGAAAGATTCTCCCCAAGACAGGAGTATTTAAGGGGATCTTTATGGAAACTCTAGATAAATGAAAGAAAGTCATAAGAAACACAGCTCATGTAAGATGGCTTCACAGTGACTTTGAACTCGACAGAGGTTTGTAACATTTATACTACAAAACTGAGCAGACCCAGGAGAAATTTGTGATGAGTCTTTCTGCGTTATTGCAGTACATTGCCAATTTTATCGGGAAGAGCATGAAGATGACTATAATTCATCTGTTATAGGCTATATATATATATATGTATATAGGCAAAATATTTGAGGATCAGGATTGAGAAAGCTTTAGATGCCTCACTGCCTACCACGGCAGTAGATTTAACTATCATGTCACAAACACTGTAAACTGAATGTGCTCTCACAGCAAGATGGTGATGAAGAGCAGGAGAAACTGGCACAAGTAAGAGGAAGAAATAATTTGGATGGAAAAATGAGTAATTGCAGAGCTCCCACATAAAAGCTACCCTAGATGTGCTGGAGAATCTCAGATCTTTTCATTACGGAAATCCATCTATGATCAACCAAGGGAAGGAGGCTTATTCCTTACAGCACCAGGAACAGCTGTGGTTGTCCTGGCTGCATAACACCACAGAGAAGGAGACAAAGCCATGCAAGGCTTGTTTATTTGTTTTAGACCGATTTGTTTTCTTTTTCAGTTGTGGTACACAATTTACCCAATGCTCTAAAAGACTACAGGTTTCACACATTCCAGGAAAATACTGAGTGTCTTTAACAAATACCATAGACTGTTTCTGAAAGGATGTGGAAAGGTGGGAATAAACAAGGAGGGTCCTGCTACTGTGGAATAAATACTATTACTCCATGGACAGCTGAACAGTTGTGGTTCAATGACAGCTATAATAATGCCCATATATGAGCAACCTGAAAGACACTACAAATTCAAAACAATAATTAAAATGGTAGCACAATATTGCAGAGAGAACATCAATGGACCTTGGAGCACGTTCAAATTTGGGATAGTTTACACAATTGCTTTGTGTTCTGCAACATCTATAGAAGCACCATGTATTCCCAAGTCATTGGTTTCAGGGCAAGTGTGTACGTATCATTCTGTCCCAGCACCCAGATTATTTAATAAGACTGTTACCTTATTCACACCATCTGCCATTGCTTGCAGTGTTAGTTCTCTAGGTCCGTCCACAGTCTTTCCATTATCAGTTGGTCCCCAGCTGGCACTATATATATCTATGACTTGAGGCATATGACTGATAGAGGAAGCCTCAATAATGTCTGTCATAAATGGCTGGTCAAGCATTCGAATACCTGTAGAATTAATCGACATATACATGAAATATGCATTACCCAGCACAAAATGAAATCTCAGCACCTGGAGAAGCCCCTCAGTTACAAGTATTTTAATTCACTGCTAGTTTCACCCACTCAATAATTCTGCACTTGCCATTCACATTTCACCAGGGTGTGCTTACCTGGCCGGATGACAGCAATTAAGCACTCAGCCACAGCAATGCAGCATGGCCCAGAAAGAGAAAGCACTTTATTGTTAGCTTTCTAATTACATAGTATTTTCCATCTACGAGTTGCAAACACTTTTAAAACAATAGTATTCAGCAATCTCAGAATTTCATAGTATTTAAATAATACTAATAGTATGTAAAATAGTATTTTGTAACAACTAGGGAAAATTATGAAGGCGACCCCCCCCAATTTATACTCAGTGATGCATTGACACTTCATTAATTCTTCAAGTAATTTTTCTGTTTATTTTGGTTCTTCTCCAGAATTTAATCAGAGAGGGGAAATGCACTACACAACTATTTCCTGGAAAAATATCTTTGTGTCAACATGCAGATGCAATAGCAAAATATGGCCAGTATTTGGATGAAAAGAGCAAACTAAGACATGCTTCCTTTAACCCATACTGCAGTAGAAATCGAGTTAGGGTCTAAACAATACAATCCTAGGACATGCCAGCTTCATAAAACTTCAAAGTGTTGGCCTTCAGCAAGGCAGAGAGTGTGACAAAGACAGCAGTGCAAGCCCTCACATCCGTCATGGCCCACACATAGGACAGTTTCACTGATAGCCAACCTCTTGGTGGCCTTTGGATGAGGCCTGAGTAACCAGGGACACATTCCAACTGTCATTTGTCACCTTGAGTTGAAGTTCAGTTTTTCCCAACAGTTTTAGGACATGGATGGGACAGAAATCAATACCACAGAACCAGTCTGAGTGGCAGTGAGGACCCTGATTTAGAAGCCCGTGCTTTTACTGTATTCAATACAAAATCTGTGTGCCAAATGTGAGGCTGGAAAAAAGTGCTATAAACTTCAAATGGAAACCAGACCTTGAATATTCCTGATCTGATAATTCGTGCTAGAAATTATGAAGTCAAACTCAATGAGCGAGAAATCCCTTCATATGCTCGTAAAATGCAGATCTGCACTGAAACCACAGAATTAATTGACCCTGGGGGAACAACAGGAGGCACCAAGTCACCTGCTTTGACTTCAGGCCAGAAAGGAGGTACAAGAAGCAAAACACAGGATGCTCAGATCCTTGGCTACCAGCTTCCAATTCCACCTGCACACATGGACCCTGTAATCATGTCAGCAGCAGAGTCTCAGCTCTAATGAACGTCCACGTTCCCACTGACCACACGGTGGTCTACAGGTGCACGCTGTCCTCAGGCAGGAAAGGCTGGCACTTCCAAAAATCTGTGGGGGTTTTGCTATGAAGTGGACACATAGGGAAGATTATTTCTAGGCTGTTGGTCATCAGAAAAGGCCTTCAACTCCTTGACTTCTAAGCAACCAGCTTGAAGTTGCTGATACAGATGAGGTCCGCCCAAAATCCTGTGCCTCAATCCATGCACCTCTAAAAGTAATAACTGCCAGAATGTAAACATAAAATGCCCCATCTCTGGAGGGGACATTACTATTACTGAAGAATGATGACATACACTAGACCTGCCTGGCCAGTTACTAACTCTCAGGGATATCTCTTGGGGTAACGGCTTAGCAAACATTGGTTGGGGCCCTTCTACAGTGGAGATTCAGCTTTCGATCAAGCAGTTGACAGGTGAAACGTAGCCTTCTCCAGACTATTCTGACTCAGTGGTGAAACAGGGTCCGGCCAAGCAGAGCAGAACTGCCCATGTACACACACACTGTGAACCATTCCCAGTAAGCAATGGGTGCATCCACACTGGAGTTTTAGTGTGGAATGAAATGAAATTCATAATCATCTATCTCTGCTTGCTGTGCCTTGGTTCTCATCATGGAACAGCCTTATAGCAGGAACACTGGATTTCTTTAGATTAAACTAAACCAACACATGCTGTACGAGAGTCTAACTTGCTCCAATCCCTGTATTCAGTCTATCAGTACAGACAAGAGGTAGCTGGAAGTAAAAACACCCAACACACCTGAAGTATGAATGTTGGGTGCTAGACACCACCCATTTCATTCTGTGTATCACTCTGCATCTCTTGTTAAAATAGAGGAAACCAATGACTCCAGACATTTACAGCACTGCAGGGCCTGCCCTGTGAAGAGCCTAAAGAATAAGAGCAGTAGGGGATTTGCCTTTTTAAATACAGTTTCTACGTGCAGCAGGAATTTATATTTTACCTCCTGCAAAATGAGATTTGTCACAGATGATTCTGCAACAACGCAGGGAAGAAGATATACTTTCTTCTTCTTTCAGTATACAAACAGGAGTTGGCTTAAGAAGGACCAGAGCTGTTACTTTGCAACATTATTAAAATGCTATATAAGGCCCTCAATCAAAAACGCAAGGCCATAGAGAAATTCCTCTCCCTGGCTACTGTGAAAAGCAATAAACACATGGCCCAGTGCCAATATGCAGTCCTGTCTTGGGCAATGCTCCCTGTCTCTGCAGAAGAAGTTCTGCTTGAGGCACAGAAGGGTAAGGACCATTTACACCTTGAATTGCTACTGTACCTGCCACCTTGGAGTTGTACGCAACTCCCACTCCGCAGATGTTGTTGTTGGCAGCAGCAGACACCTCTCCCGCACACCTTGTCCCGTGACTGCAAAAGGGAAGACAGAGACACCATGTGAACCCCACCTAATGCACGTGTTGAATTGAGCCGGATCACCATGATCTTGTCTTTGCCTCATAGTCAGCTCCCAGCCTTTCAGAGGAAAACTGTTCCATGGCAAACTGTTGAGTGCTGTACTTGGATGAGCTAATGGATAAGTCCCTTATTTTTGTGACTTGACAGTGTGACACCCATTCTTTTGAACCCCACAGAACAAAGTCTGATTGCCTTTTTGCTGTTCAAACATCTATCAGGAGCATATACCTGCCCATAAAAGAAATGCTATGGAAAGAGGTGGGTGCATTATCAAGCTGGAGTGACAGAAGGGAGCCACAAGGGTCACTGCACTCCTCAGCAGCAGAGCTGTGACCTGGCTGGCCAGGCCCAAAGCTGGCCAGACTCAAGGCATGTGCAGCCCTCTCCTCCACCGCTTAATTCCCAGGAAAGCTGACAAGGTGCTCCAGCTATCAGCTTATGGATCTACTGCTTTCTGTTCAAGTGGGAAATGTCTCTGATGTGACATGAAATTGTAGGTTCGGGCTGACACATGGCACTTCAAGAACACCTAGTGTCTCTGAAGTGCTTTACAGCTCTTTACAGTGACTCTTTAACTGGCAGTGGCTCTAAGCCAGTCCTGCAGGAAGGCGGATTGCATTTTTCTGCCTCCTAATTCATCACAGAAATTAAACCACAGAGAAGATAAATATGGTCAATATAATCTAGTTTTTAAAAAACAGCACAGCAGCAAACTAGTGAAATTTTTTTTGTTTAAAATCTCGAATCAATGTGAATGCATCCTACTCCTTACATCAATCCACTCCGTGCATTAAAACTGGCATTGCTCCTATAGCATGCTAAGGATTCATGCAATTAGCAATGCTGTATGATAAAGGCTATACGGAGTACCAGATGAACCATCCCAGGAGGCAGCAGAATTGTTTTCTTTTAATCATCTTTTCCCTCTCTCTTTTAAAGCACCTCTGGCAGTGAGTGTAACATTAATAAAGTGGTGAGAAGGAACACATTATTTTCCTGCTGTACTTTGAAGAATACATTTTTAAAGGAAGCTTCATGAAAGAAAATGTCTGGCCACGAATGTACAGTGTCTTGATCACGAAAGAGTGAAGATCTCATGCTTCTTGCTCTTATAAAGGGGGCAGAGAGGAGAGCAATACAGATTTCTTATTCAGCTGCTGGAGAAATTTCTTTCAACAATCAAGCAGGTTTTCTCTCATGCCCTTGTTCAAGGAACTGTGAAAAAATATACTGTTACTAGGCATTCATTATCTAGTCACCTGTGGGATAGCTACAAGCCACAGAGCAGAATAATTTTTTGTTGTTAAAAAATTGTCTTGACTGATGCTGGGGTTCAAAAAAATCAGGTTTTTCTCTCTCCAAGGGAATTAGAGGTATTAGAACCTTCCTGGTGAAAAGATTTTATGAGAAGGTCCTCTCCCCGACCTCATCTCCCCAGCGCACTGGCCAGCATCATGGAGACTGCAAGCAGAGCTGTCCCAGCAGCTTAGGGTTAGATATCATGCTACTAACTGGAGAAAAAAAAAATAATCAGATGTGAGTTACTGGAAATGTATTCGGTTGAATTATTAATGGCAAATAACGGACTTTTCCAATTTAGCCCTCTTTGCTGTTCATGTACCATTGATAAAACCATTGTGGATTCTGTGAAGTGACCCATATCATGGGCACAAATCACAGCTTTTCTCGCCAATGTTCACCTCTTCACCATTATTTCAATATTCGAAACAAGGGGATAGAAAACAATTAAGCATATTTTCACCTGTGAACAAGTTACTTCAAAGATAAACCATGTATTAACATGCAGAGCAAGTCATATAGTGCAAGTTTTCTGTAAAGATCATATAAATTCAAATATTTTACATGAATATTCATGAAAAACTAGGGTGGGAGAGGCTGATTTTTTGCCTTTAGCTGGTTTAAATAACATATCTGTGATAGTTATCAAAATTTAATTCTGCTTTGTCTTTGAAAACTTTAACTTACCAGACGTCTGCTGGAAATACAACACAGCAAAGACGAAACAGCCTAGAAGGTTCCTGGAGTGTGTGGAAGACAACTTCTTGACGCAGTTGGTAAGTGAGCCTACCAGGGGAGGTGCCTCGCTAGGCCTGCTGTTTACTAACAGAGAAGGACTGGTGGGTGATGTGGTGGTCGGAGTCCATCTTGGGCTTAGCGACTATGAAATGATTTAGTTCTCGGTTCGTGGTGAAGTCAAGAGGGGGGCCAGCAAAACCACCACCAGGGACTTTCAGAGGGCAAACATTGGACTGTTCAGGACACTGGCTGAGAGGGTCCCCTGGGAAAG